CACCGGGCGGCGCCCAGGCTCTGTGACCAGCAGGGCTGAGGGGCCTCGGCCCGGCTGTGAGGCTGTGCCCACGGCCCCTGGAACGCAGGAACCTTCTCAGATGAGGGATTCGGCAAAGGCTCTCCCTGCGGGAAGCCCCACTCCCTGCAGAGCAGGAGCCCCAGCAGCCGCAGGGCCAGGGGTGGAGCTGAGGTGGGAGCCGCGTGGACAGAGGAAGGGACAGGCAAGGACGCCACTGAGGGGTGCCGAGTGGCCGCCTCCTGCCGTGAAGCCCCAGAGGCCGTGCCCGCGTCAGTGAACGGAAGCTGCACACCTGGGGTCCAGGTGTGCCCGTGTCAGGAAACAATGTCCCCGCCAGGGACGGGGGACAGGCAGGTGGGGGCTCACCACCTGGGAGGTTTCAAAATGGTCAAAACCAGGCACCGTGACACCGAATCAGGCCTGTGACCAGCTGCACACGCAGCACGTGTGAGACACGGCAGAGGCTCCGACTGCACAGGAGGCCATGGCGAGGGGGCGGTGGGAGGGGCAGGGGAGACGCTGAAACCACCACCAGGTAAAGGTCTGGGTGTGGGCTCCTTTACCCGCCCCGGAAACATCTCATTCAAAGGAGAGCAGCAGAGGGAGGGATCTGAGGAGAGCGTGGCTGCCCCAGCCCCGACATGCCTGGCCCGCAGCCCTGCCTGCAGCCCTGCCAGCAGCCCCCACCCCACCCACTCCCCACCCACAGCCCTGCCAGCAGGGGCCCCTAAGATTTAGCCTCGCCCCACAGTGAGGGTGCATGTGGCACTGGTGCAAGCACTGGAGGGGAGGGGGCGGCCCGGGAGTGGGGTCCCTGGGGACGGTCTCCAGACCTGGCCCAGGCTGGGCTCCTGCTCGCCCAGGCCCACGATGAGGATGCAGTCGGCCTGCCGGATGCAGCGCTGGGTCCAGGGCGTGAGCGAGCTGTCCGCCTGGTAGAGCACGATCCGGTGGATGTCCTCCTGCTGCCCCAGCCAGCTGGACAGCCGGTACTCGTGGATGCTGCAGGCCGACATGGGCATGGGCATGGGCATGGGGTGCAGGCAAGGGCTGAAGACATGGGGCGCAGACATTTGGGGGTGCAAACATGTGGAGATGCAGCCAAGGGGGGCACAGACATGGGGGGCACACATGTGGGGGTATAGACATGGGGCGCAGACATGTGGGGCATAGACATGGGGGACAGACATGTGGGGGTATAGATATGGGCGCAGACATATGGGGGTGCAGACATATGGAGATGCAGCCAAGGGGGGCACAGACATGGGGCGCAGATATGGGGGGGATGCAGACATGGGGGTACAGACATGTGGGAGAGCAAACATGGAGACACAGACATGTGGGGGTGCAGACATGGGGGACAGACATGGGGGGCAGACATGGGAGGCAGACATGGGGGACAGACATGGGGCGCAGACATGGGGGGCAGGCCTCAGGGCACGCACAGACACAGGCCGTTCCCAGGCTGTGCTCAGACCCGCGGGCAGGGCAGCCGCTGTCCCCTGCAGCCTGTACCTGTCCAGGGCGGCAGAGCCCAGGCGCTGTTTGACGTTGTCACTGGTCAGCAGCAGGACGGGGCCTGGGAACGGCACCGGGTGTGGAAGCTGCCCGGCAGCCCCCCTCCGGGACAGCAGGGCCGACCACAGGGGCAGCCGGGCAGCCAGGAGCGGGAGGAGCAGCCCCTCCCCCAGAGGGGCTCTTGCTGAGCCACCAGGAGCCTTGTGCCTTTCAACATGGAAGTGCCTGTGGCCTTGGGGGCCTCGGGGCCGGTGAGCGCACGGTGCGAAGTGGGAGGACTGCACCGCTCAGGGCTCCCCGGGGACAGGGGGCCTCTCTGAACCTCCGTCTCCTCGTCTACCCACAGAGGAGCGGAGGCTCCGCAGCACAGAGGCTGAGTGCTGGGGGCAGGGGAGGCATAAGCTCCTAAACGCAAGATAACGCGACGCCCAAACCCAGACCCACCGCCCGGACCCAGACCCGCCGGCTGCGGCTGTGGCGCAGTTAGTGCCCAGGCTTGCGAAGCACAGCCCCCCACTGTGTCTGAGGTCAGAAAGGCCCCCCGTCTACTGTGTCTTAGAGCCACAGACAGCGGTCAGGGCCTGCTCCCCAGAAGGCCAGGGCAAGACTGAGGGAGGGCTAGGGTCAGACTATCAGCCTAAACCTCCACTCAGCAAGAATGCCCTTGAGGAGTGAGGGCGACCTCCACCAACATGGCCCCTGCCTTTCGGCGACGGCGTCGCCATGGCTGCGGGCAGAGCTCGGTCTTTCTACTCGTCAGCGAGGGTTCTGGGCCGGCTGAGACCCCAACAGGCAAAATCAATCTTGATTCCACCTCATATCAGAACCAGAACCAGAACCAGGCCCAGATGGACTGTGTTAAAAGAACATCGTCATGATTTGGGGGCAAAATAAAATGTCTTAAGTAAAATGCAAAAGCAACAACAATATAGGAGAGAGTTGATGAATCGGTGTACGTTAGAGTGAAGACCTTCTGTTCGTCAAAACACATCATGAAGATAAGAAAGGCACCGCCGAGAGGGAAGGCATCTGCAGTATCTGCACCCAAAAAGGAGCCGTGTGCAACCACAGGGAGAACCCCGCCCCCGCCACCGCCATCGCCACCGCCACCGCAGGAGGAGTGACAGCCGGCGAAGGGGGTGACCGGACAGGCGCTGACAGAAGGGGGCACCTGCCGGCCAATCACAAGCCAGCTTCTCCGTCAGGCAGAATGCAGACTCCAGCCCTAGCGAGGCGGCGGCACACTCACTACCACATGCGTGGAAAGACCGGCACAGAACACGCGCTCTAGGCACACAGGACCCTCTCCAGGGCCGGCCCAGGTCGGGCCACAAAACACGTCGAGTAAAACTTTAAAAGGCGAAATCGTAGTGTCTTCCTGATCACAAGGTGTGAAACGGGACCTCAGTAACAGCAGGAAAACTCGCAACATGTGGAAATAACCTGCTCACACCCCGTGGGGAGAGCCGTCACAGGGAAGGCGGACAGTCGCGAGCCACGTGTAAAAGGAAACACGGGGTCCCAAACGCAGGGACCAGCACGAGCAGCGCGGGCGGGTCACAGCGCCAACGTGACGTCACAAAGGCGGCCTCAGCCAGCACCGGCTCCAGGCCTCGAGGAACGAGGAGAGAGTATTAACTAAACCCAGAGCTGACAGGAGGGAAGAAAAAATAAAGATCAGGACAGAGGTCACTAAAATAGAGAAGGAGATAAATGCAAAAGTTGGTTCTTTGAAAGAATTAACAAAATTGACGAGCCCTTAGCAAATGAATAAAGAATAAAAAGATGCAAGTCGCTGAAATGAAGAGCGGTGGGACATTACTCACTTCACAGAAACGAACGCGAGTGTAAGGAGCACTGTGAGCAGCTGCACAGCAACAAGGTGGACGATCGAGATGAAACGGAGGAATTTCTGGGAACACAAGACCTACCAAGACCGATTCATGAAGAAATATGGAAAGATTGGATCAGTGATAACAATAACAATAACAGTAACCGAGAAAGGAGAGCCCTGGACGAGACAGCTTCGCTGGAGGTTCTAGCAAACATTTAAAGAAGAGTTAACACCCTCCTCCTCAAACTCTTGTAAAACAGAGGAAGGCGCTTTCTCACTCACTCCTTGGCCAGCACTCCTGACGCCAAAGCCCAGGAGACCACGTCAGCAGGAGAAAGCTGTAGACCATGACCTTCATCAACATCAACGGGAGGCCAGCGAACCAGGCCAGCGGCCTGTTAAAGGCCTGACACCACAGCCCCTGGGGTTTGTTCCCGGAATGCAAGGACGGCTCAACACCGGACTGTCCATCAAAGGACTCATCACATTAACAGGACGAAGGGAAACACACCACCATTTCAGCTGATGCAGAAAAGGCACTGGCAAAAGTCAACCTCTTTGCACAATAAACACCCTCAGTAAACTACGGCAGAAAGCCTTCAACACACTGCAGGCCACGCACGGACAGCTGGCAGCGACCGTCACACTGGGGTGGACCCTCGGGCTCCCCCAAGGTCAGGACAAGGTGGGGATGTCTGGTTCCACCACCGCTGTCCAACACGGCTCTGCTCAACGCCATCAGGACCCGAATGGGTGCGACAGACATCCGCACGGAGAGGAAGCAGCGGCGACCTCCGCCGGTTCCACCCACACACACACTCAGAAGCGGGTGGAAGGAGCACCTTCCGCAAGGCTGCAGGGTCCGGGAGCACACAGGCAGCGGTTCCTCTCCGTCAGTGAGCACTCTGAAGGGATTATACCATCACTCCACTGACAGCAGCACCAAAGCCAGTCCGTACTTTGGAACAAACTTAACGAGGACTCGCCGTGAAACTATCGACGCTGCTGAGGAAAGTCAAGATGCTCCTAAGTGGACACGCGTCCGTGCTGCTGGGCGGGAAGAGTCCTGTCAGGGTGTCGGCACCCAGAGCGATGGAGCCAGTGCACCCGCCAGACCGCCAGGTTCTCACAGAACTGGACACGCTCGTCCCAACTCCCAGGGGACTCGGGCCCTGAAGGGTCCAAACCACCTTGGAACCGCAAAGCCGAGCGCTCCGCCCTCCTGGTTTGACCACTTGCTGCAAAGCCGCCTCGTGAAGACGGTGAGGGGCCGGCTCAGGACAGGCGTGGGGGCCAGGGCCAGGGCCAGCGAGCTGGGATGAGCCTCGTGG